TTCAAGCATAAAGAAGAGAAGATCTTCGAACAGGAGAGAGAAATGTAAGAACTTCAGATAGTAATAAAGGATTGATTATACAGATAAAACCCACTAATTTTCTTGTGATATTTTGTTTCCTGTCCTTGTTTTTATTGGGTTGTATTTCTTTTGTGTGATGTTATGCCTGTTTTTTGTATGATTAGGCCAAAGCAGTTTGATAATTTTAGATTAATTATCTCATATTTGTGTAATAGCAACTTGCAAACTAGTATACAAGTCTTGTGAATCTCTCCACTTATATATGGTGAATTGGTTTTGTGTTGAATGCTCTATTATTGCATTGGAATTGAGTGTCAAAAAGTTATGTTATGCCTTGTTCTACATCATGATAATAATGTTTGAGTAATTCATAGTTTCGAACCCTATGGTTTCATGAGGTCATGAGATCAAATCTCATTGTCTACATAGAAGACATTCCATAGCGTTTGTGCATGACAAAGTCTCAAGAATTTTTATCGCCAGCCTGAACACTTTGTAACAAAAAAAAAAAAAAAGTCCCAAGAATCATGTTTATGTCTACATCTTGATGACTTGGTTGTATGTCTAAACCAAGTCAAAGTCTTTTTTTTTTTTGCTCTAACAGTTTAAATTTTTAGAGTAATTGATAATTTAATAAGATATCAGAATCGTGATGATTTCAATTAATGCTAAAAAAAATTGAAAGTAGTCTAGAAGTTTCCTTTTTATATTTTCTGATGAATTTCTTTTTCATGAAAATAGTAGATGAGGAAAGAGAAAAGAAGAGCTCTCTACAAGTCTTAATATAAAAGCTTGGGCTGGCTTCTGCAATGGAATCCATGGAAGAAATGTCTCTTGCAAAGGAACGCAGTGTTAAAAGGTCAAACATGCTTCTACATTAAATGTTCTCGAGTTTTTTGCTTATACTTTTGGCCGTCTTCTCTGTCACTAAGCTCTTGGTGATTTAGGATAAAAACAAAGTTGAAAAAGTTTGACCACCGCATGGTATCAACGTTGGTATCAAATTTATAATTTTTGTGGGTGATGATATAATTTTTAGGGCATTAGTTATAATAAAAAAAAATTACAAAAAAAAAGTTACAATGTTTTGGAGTCATCACTCACTATATAACTTTTGAGATGAAGATACAAACTTTAGGGGTCAAATTATAATATTTTGGGATTTTTAGGATCAATTGTAACATTTAGGAGCATGGTTCAACGTCACAGTGAAGACCATCAATTTGAAACACATCAGTCGTGATGTCGTAGTGCAGTATCGGGCGATAAGACCTAAAGGAAAATATGTTGAACCCGACGAGAATTTCAAATTATAGCGCGACGTCGCATAATTTTATCAATCAAATCGGCGATGATAATTCGGTGACTTGAGATTGACTCGAATACAATTCAGATGATTCGACCAGAATTGTGTAAGATTTAAAATTTATACGTATCATATAACAGTATCGTTTCAAAAGGTACCGCGTCAAATACGAATCAACCGACTTATATATCGATATCCTCCTAAAGTTCGATAAATTACCCCTATTTCTTATTGGACGCATAGTGACAAAGACAAATGTTTGTGAGAAAATTTTACATCGTTTTTAAATAATTACTTGTCAGTGTCAAGTAGTGTAAACAGTCAATGAAAAACCGACCTAACATTGTCGGGTGGCGTGTTAAACTTATATAAAAAAATTTCAATGTTTGGTATACGTTTTTAACTAATATTTTGATTTTTATTTATCTATTTCTTTCTAGGTTTTTTTTTTTTTTTTTTAGTTTTTTGCATTCATTCAAGGTTTTTTATGACATTTGTAGGAGTACACATGTGCAGAAATAGTATAAATGCTCAGATGAATATAGATTACAATATAAAGTATATTAATTAAAAAATTATTGTTTTTATTTTCTTAAAAAAATATGTTACCAAACGATAATCTATTGCGGTTAACGGTTGTTCTAATGATCACTATCCTTATTGTGAGATATTAAAATTGTGAATTCGAACCTTGTGGTTCCTTTCACTATAATAATATTTGACAAAAAAAAAGGAGAAATTATTTATCAAAAGAACAAAATATGGAATTTCTTAGGCGACTCTTAAAGTCTTCCCCTCACTCGGAGAAAGGACATGGTAACGAATTTCCGTGGTCAAAATGTAGAGGGCGGCCTCAGCCAATTGGACGAACCCTATTTTAAAATTAGAATATTTATGGTGAATTTAGGAAAATACTACATTATCGAATTTTTTATTTTTTTGATACCATATCAAAAACTAAAATAAAAAACTTTAAAAGATAATAAATTCTACTCTCTTTTTTTGTTACAGGGCGTTTATGTTTGCGCCAACTATTCTCTTGAGCCTTGACTTCAACGGCCGACCATCATTGCTTGATCTGCGTTAGATCATGTTCCTAGAACGATAAAGGTGGCTAGACCTTAGGGAGATTAAACTTAAAATCACTGGGTTATTCTCTAAAAATTGATAAATTGTACCAAAAAATAATAAGTGAACCTAAAAAATTTGTGCACCCCAAAAGTTAGTATAACTCTACACGAAAAGTGGAATAAATACTAAAAAAATTGATAGGTAATATAGTACCAAGAAAAGAAAAAAGAAATCGAACGCTGAATTTAGATACCAGTTATGTATCAAATTAATTTGGACTCTTATGTGGGGACATAATTCAATAAAATCATTGGATTGGTAGCAGGCTTCAGTTAATATTAAAATTTATAACTAATTCAATGAATACATTGAATAAGTCTCTAATTAGGTTCTCAAATTAAGTCTCAATAACATCACTAGTGTAGCTATTGGATAAAATAGTTCTTTTTTTTTATAAGATATAAAATAATTCAAAGTTGTGTATTTTGTACTTTGTGTGAATTCATTTAAAAAATTGCACTATACTCATACAAAAAACAACTTAGTCGATCAGGCTCGTGAGTCCGAGTAGAATTGAGGGCATACCTCGGGTGCATAAACCAGTCCGTCAACTCATACACTAGTTAAATCAGGACTTGCGCTTTGGTGGGAATACAAGTTTATACTAAAAGGAATTGGATACGGTTCGTCTAAACAATTAAAGTTCATCTACCAACAAAACTAACCATATTTTTATTGCCCAGGAAACTTCAACATTTGATATCATGAAAGCTAAGCTTTCAAGACAAAGATAACTATTGGGCCAAATTTCAATTCACCCATGAACCATGATCCAACATTCTAAAACAAGATGATATTGTTACGGATAAATTCCTTGCTGTCTTCACGGTCCAATTGAAACTTGTCACCAATTTATATATGTTTCTCCGGCCACAACCTCGGTTTGTATTATTCAAAGATCCTCCTATTCATGAGAGGTGAATCATTCTAGGTAACAAAGAGATCGGATCTAAATTCTCTCTAATAACTTTTTAAAGTTTTATTTAATTTTAAATCCATCATTAAATACTAGTAGAGATATACTTATATAGTCAGTTTTATTTAAATTCATGTTCCGTGATTTTAATCGATAGAAAATATATTAAATATGGATTGTAATCCCTGAACAATCTACACGCCATCCACCTTTTGAGCATCAAACACCACTACCTCCCTCTCTGTCTCTCTCTCTCTCTCTCTCTCCATTAGGGTAATCTCCAAACCCCATTAAACTTTCGATAAGTACGAGAAAATTTGTCATTTCTATATCATTCTCTATGTAATGTATGTATGCTTAGGCCTGCACATTTATATATGTTTTGCATTAGTTTTTAACACCACTCATGGTTAAACACGATGAATTCTTTAATCTTTTCGACTCTTTCTAGAGCAGGCCGGCACAGGCAACAAACATTTGTTTGTGTTGGGTTTCATTTGTTTTTGTGTTTTAACCAGTCCCTTTTTAATGTTAAATTAAAGGGG